AGGATGCGCTGCACAGCAGAGGGCCAATCCATTTTTGGCATCAGTCCCACTTACCACTGCCCAACTGTAGACAAACTCCTTATTAATTCATGAAGACATGCTGTAGACCGTGTAAAAAGGTGGCTAGAAATGCCTTGCACTCACAACAACGCCGTTGCCCACAAAGAGCTGGTCTCGGTCAGACCCTCAACTGTGAGGAGGCAGTAAACTGGCATCAATTATTTAGCTTCTCGCACCCTTTGTTTCACACAACACTCTTACACAAAGAACATAAATGGGGTTCTAAAATATGCAATGATAAGGACATGGGCGTAACGAGCTATGAGGATGCTGCACTTTGGACTTCAGTAGATTCAGAATGGTTTTTAAGTTTCTCTGCTCATGAGATTTAATTTAGAAACAGAGCTGATCTGCAATAGCATACTCAGGGGCAGAACCACAAATATCTCAGGCCTACCCAATCAAATGGGGATGGAATATTTAATAATCTGCATTTTTTAAAATAGTGAAATTTGATTTGCTTTCTGTGAGTGCTGTCACTGTATTCTGGCCAATCACAATCAAAATCTGCCAGGCTGCAGACTTATTTCCACAGCCCTCCAATCACTGCTTAGCAATTGTGGCTATCCGCCATTGGCTCAAGCCTTCGATTTGTTGTCAGTGCCCGTCATGTTTATAACTAGAATGAGGACACAGAAGTCCTTGCCAGTGTCAAAAGGGGTTTATGAGATTCAGTGTGGCAAAATTGATGAGACTACCTAATCAGCAGCGACTTCTCAGACCTCATAACAGCTGCGATTTGGCCATAGACTTAAAAGCCTGCTCTGTTTATTGCTGTATGAGAGGCTGATATTATAGGATAACATACAACATAGCTATGATATAAATGTATGAGGGTAATTAACGGATTATACTTCATTTTTTTAATTGGACCACTTGTAACGTTACTAAAGTCAGCATGCCTTTAGCCTAGTTCAGGTACCTGCTTAGTTTAGGGTACAAGCTCCAAAGTTGGCCACATTAGCGATTGATTTTGTACTTATTGTGTGTATACATATTGTCTGTTATCCCACTAGTACATGCGCGCTCGTGTCCTTGTCTTAAGCTGCTTTTCTACTGCATGGTGCCAACTCGACTTGGACCTGCTATTGGTACCAGCTAATTGGTTTTTCACTGTAGATATGTCACCTACTCAGTGTAGCTGGTCATCATAGCGATGCCAAATGAAACTGCTGAGACATGACGGAGACAAATTTTGTTCAAAAGAGCTCAATGGCAGCAAGATAAAAGACTACTCACAAAAAAAAGAGAGTTTTGAAAATAAAACATTAGAGTTCAGATGACGAGACGAATTTGGTTGCTTAAAAAAGGCAACACAAGTGGGTATGCTCACTTGGTAGCAGCACGTGTTTAGCGATCCTCTCCGACCAATGGTCTGTAGCACGTTTACTTCACCTTTTTGTAACGGCTCAGCTCATTTGGAACCTCGATGGAGACCAGGTACCAACTTTTGTCTAATGGAAAACTAAAGAAGGCAAGTAGAGCTGAGTCTAGTTGAGTTGATTCGAGTTGAGCTGGTACCATGGAGTGGAAAAGAGCCTTTAATGTTATGCACCAGAGAAGTAACACGAACATGTTTTGTTATACTGTATAATAAATAAAACAGAATTGAAATTGAATTGACTTGAAGTTCAATCAATTTATGGAACAGTAAAACCAGTTTATGGAAGAATGGAGGGATGAGAAAGGAACAAATTGAAGGAAAAGGTGCAGAACAATTATGGATGGGTAAAAAGGAGCAACAATATGGACAAAAATTAGAAGAAACTGAGTTTGGTGTTATACATATACGGCAGTTGATGCAAGAGCTAATGCAGCCCAAACAAAAGCTTCCTTTTTCAGCCTGTAGAATTAATGCATTTTATGTATTTTTTTGAAAAAAGGAACCAGGCTTGGTCATGGCACTACTCTCAGCTGTTGATGTGATGTGACAGAATGCTTAGGAGTTCGTACTAGTGCCTTGGTCCTTGTCACGGTAGGGAGGCACGGTGGCAAGGCTGAGTGTTCTGAATAATATAGTGTATATATGAATAATGTAGCTTATATATATCAAAGCGTGCAGAGTGTTATCTTGCCAAAACTATGCTTGGAGATAATGTCCCGGCCATGTAAACTTAAAAAGTACCAGTGAGTGTCAAATTCTGAGTTTGGGATGCTACAGTCAACCTTCTGATATTCAAACATTACATCTTCTATTTGCAGGTTCCTCCGAGTCAACCACTTTTTAACCGCCCGAAGGTACAAAACAGACAACCCACTCTATCTATCTCATTTTACCATGACAGCAAATCAAGCAGGCTCTGTGAAACTCCAGTACACTACGTGCAAGGAGTTGGCACATACATCATGGGCTTAAACAATACAATCATGTCACAGCACATAACTGTCCTCGAACATCAACCTCCCCCACCCCTGGTGTGCACGGGCTTGCAACGTTGCAGTGACACACAATCTTTGCTGGTGAGAAAAGGGAAGAGTGACAAGCTTTCATTAGGGTGTCCAAATTCAAATGTTATTCTCAGCCTCGAGGAGTAGCGTAGCCATGTCATCTCATAAGGCTGGAAGAGAATAGAGTTCCATCACCCTAACAATATTGTACCTAATATTCCTAAATATGTAGTTACAATGAACTATGCCAAGTGCTACCGTCATTACCAGCCAAGTCCCTGTGGACAAACACTATTATAAAATAGAGAGCTCCACTTTGATTTTTAGTTTTGATTAAGGGCTATAAATCATGTGGTACAAGCACAATACTGGATATCGCAGAAAGGGCAAAGGCTTAGAAGTGAAGTTACTTTTCGCCAAGGAAAAAAAATCACTTAAAAAGTGCAAAAATGTGAAGTGCTAAGATAATGTGAGTAATATATATGAGCAATATGCCTCACCGCATAAGCATGGAGTTACTCCATCTTCTTCTCAGTCATCTAACACAATCTTCCTGCTTTTATCCAGAGGTCCTGATTATGGGTAGAGTATGTCTGTAATGCACATGTTTAATGCATAGAGCGAGCCCAACATTACCATTAGGCCTAGAACTCGGCAGACTCAGCAATGACACTTCCACTTCACCACAACCAGCTACTTTTAGCATAAGAGTCTTTTAGCACTAGAAACGATCTAAGCATGTGGCACAATTCATTATTGGGGCTTTTCAAGCATGCAATACTACGGCCTTCTTGTTTCTCTGCTGCTATGGACACGTTTCATACATATGAGGGTTGTGATTTTCTAAAATCGAAATTGCTAAATGGAAAAAAAAGCAGTAATACATGATGCATTTGGTTTCTCTCTCTGCTTGAAGGTCAAATATGAAATCCAGGATAAAATGAAATTTCGGGAGAGATGAATCCCTCCCTCGCTCAGGGGCCCAGGCTGCCCTTTCTCACAACCATGTATGGGCAGCCCAAGGGCTATGCTAAAATGGCTGGCGGACTTGGCCTGCTCTGTCTCTGGCAGCTGGACACATTGCTCTGGACAGCTCCAGGCCAAACCAGTCACAATTCAATTTCCCAATTCATTCATCAAGCACTTGGGGTCAGCACACAGGCCTGGCCAGGGGCTTCCCGCTCCTCCTGAGTCCTACTTAACCTCCATCGTTAAAAAAGCATTACTCTCGAACTTGACCAGCCTCTGCCAGACATTCCTGGCTCTTTTGGTACACTTTTTTCACTGGGGTTACAGAAGTGGGACGCTATATTTCTGTGGCCTGATACTCATTTCTTCACCTGAGGTCTGAAGCTGGCTAAATGTAGAGCAGAAAACAGACCCAAGAACAAGAGAAGTCAGTGTTTATGATTGTGGTTACAAGGGTAGAGAGAGCCCATATAAGATCCATGTGTTTGTGTATGGTGGGAAATTCATCATGCACAGATACGAGTAATGACTAACAAATAGATATGTAACCTTTCTAGTGTTGCTTTGTGCCATCTGTGTCTGATGTGAATCAAACACTAGACAGGACTTAAGTGGTGTTCACATCATCCTGTGCCTCGTAATGGTATACGACCAATGGCAGCATGCCACCATGCTAAAATTGGCATGGTTAGGGTCAAGAGCAAAAATAGATAGTTATCAGGAGAGGTTTATCAGTGTTACAGTTTACTTAAGGTGGAAAAAGGCAGGAGGATTCTCTGGACTCTACTTTTTATTTTTGTTGTATAATACTGAACTTCAGCACGGAGACATTTGGCATCCATGACTCCCAAAAAACAAAATCAACGTTTGATTTATTTCACTACTGCATTCAGTGGCAAAAGTTGGCAAAATTGAATTTTCTGTCATTGCTCCATTGAAAATATATATCTGGTTATGACTGCAAGTTAAACTATCCATGCTCTGCACACAAATGTGATCTTTCACAGCAAATGCTGTGATGTTCGACAAGATCTACAGAACAATGATGAAAAAAGCTCATTTAACTCAGAGATATTGTAACCAACTTTGTCTAGAGTCGCTGAGTAATATTGAGGTTCAAGACAAATTCCATGCTACCGTGCTAGACTGTCACTGCTAAAATTAATGAGTTGGAAATGCCAATGACAAGCATGCCACTGTTAGTGTAAACTTCATTACATAACAATAAAAAACAACAGCTGCTGTATTCTAACAGTGTGACCTTTCACAGCCAAACCAAATAAATGTCACTTGAAATTAATAACACACTCTAAGTTTAGGTATTTTGACAAAAACTGAGCTGTGTTTTGCCGTGTTTTGCAACATTCTGTAAAGCTTGTCCAACCTTGCAACACCTAACGACTGTTGCTACAAAAGAACAAGTTGTGGGCGGAGCACGGATAGGTCTACTGAGGGGAAAAGAAAACGAAAAACTAGAAGGCCCTTAAAATGCTAGTCAAGTTAGAGGTAGATGGAACTAAATTTAGCAGGCTGCTGTTAAGGATTCACAGGTATTCACAAGGATTCCTGTTAAGAATTCTCACCTCATAGTGTACAGCAGGGTCCCATTATCCACCAGTCGCAGAAGTTTATTAGGAGTGGTCATGTTGTGTGCCACGGACTTCTTTCCATTGTGGAAGAACGTATCTGGAGTCCAGATCTTGCTGGCCAGCAGGTTGTTGAGTGGAAGAACTTGCATGGGCCCATCAAACTTCAGCCTCTCGTCCCGCCAGCTCTGCCGGAAGAATACATCAATCGTGTACTCCTGGAGAAGAGAGAAAGAATGAGTCAGAGCTTCTCTGGTAGCCTGTTAAAAAAAAAAAAAAACAACAAAAAACTCCACCTCAGAGTTCTCTCCACTTCCCTGATCTAATGCCTTCTAAGTGAGACCGCCTGCAGCAGCACGAGAAACTCATGTCCAATCTTAGCACATGAGTCAGGAGCAGGACGCGCTCTCAAGCACTGCTCTGTCCTCACACCAAGCCCATTCTCCAAAATGTCCGGCCTTGATTGGTTGAGATCCATTCCACTTCAATAATTCATCGCTCTTTTTGTACAGAGAGCGGCCTTGATCCTTAAGGCACCTTCCATAGTTTTATTATATTTATTATTATATAATTATATAAATGCATTTACTCAGAAATATCCATGCACTGCATTACAGTATTTGTTCAGAACTGCACTAATCTAAGAGAAGGCTGTAGCTTTCACTGTATGAGGCAGCAAACTAAAACTCTGGGCATCCTGCCCCCCCAGAGTACCAGTTGAGTGTTATGAGGCTTTTGTCACGCTTCAAAAGGTTCAATTTGCTGGAAAGATACTTGGGAAGCAACAGAAGGAAATCTGTGCTGCACAGTCAATCAGAAATGCCAAGAAGTTCTGACGTTGTGGCAGAAAACAAGCAAGATGAAAAAAAGCAAATTCAGATGACTTGCAGTCTTTCGTGTCCAAATGGTTGGTGGGAAACACACAGCAAAACTACTGGAAATAAAAAAAATATATATACTGTTTTTTTTAATATATAAACAAGAATTTCTGCTTTGGCTTTGCAGCATCAAACTGTGCATTCTGTTTGACTGAGTGTGGTGCATATTTCAGACCTGACTTCAAGTTGAAGTTGGTTTTACATTAAAATTCCACAGCACTTCTATAGCTGGATGAAGCATGCCCAGGAACTGACGAAGAAAGTGAGAGCCGATGTGCCAAGTGATGTTATCAATATCAAAACACAGAGTTAAGAGGGAGTTCAAGCGGCGTTTGCTTGCTACAATATCAGATGTGAAAGCCAGGCTGAAATTCAGACTTTCAGCAATTCCCTGCATTTCTTACAATGTGCAGGGTTTGATAAGCCAACCAGTACATGTTTTATTGTTTACAAATTGGTTGTTCCCTGTCATGCCTTTTCTGTGCATCCTTCAGTAATGTACACAAACAAAACCGGGATCCCACATTGACGCTGACCTATTTTTCGTGCTGAATGGAGGACTTCCATTCTCACTGAGCGTCTCACAAATGCATAGATTACATATTGTTCACGCAATTGTTCTGCTTTGGGTTAGAGGCTTTTCAGGTCTCCAGTGAAGCTAAACACAGAGAATACAACTTCAGGCAGGCCACTTTACCCTGGGGAGTTTCTTTGATCTGGCCCTAAAGGCACCATGGGGATGAGGGCTTTTTTATCTCGGGTCGTGATCATGAGGGTTTGACCAATAGTGACAAGGACCATCCTGAGTGTTATCAACGAAAATTATAAAAGCCAGCATTTGCCAGTCTAGGTGTGTGTTTCTTGCACATCTCTGAAAGCACCATTAATGCTGAGTGGTACAAATGCACGGTGGAGCAACGTGTTGCTCTCTAGATGATGTTTTTTTTAAGGACATCCCTGTTTGTTTTAGTAAGACAATGCCAAGCCAAATTCTGACGTCAGTATATAGTGAATAGTGAGAATGCTGTAATTTCACGTTTCAGGGATGGAGGAGTTGTGGGGATGGGTTACGGTGTTGGGGGACCAGTTTAAACGCAATTGCGTGGGGGGTTTCGAAGGATGTCACCGTTACAAGCGATCGCATCTTGGGGGGGGGGTTGCCATCCACCATTACCCTGTTAAAAACGATCAGGTTCAGCTCCTTTTACCGTCCACGGTGGGGGGAGGCACCCTCAGCCCCAAACTTCATTTGTAATATGTACCCTAGCTAGTCCTACGCCATGCCATAGACTGAACGGGCAAAGATCTTAGGTAGGGATTGTTGTGGGGTGCTCCTGTGAGGTGGAAGGCATACGGTTACCAGCATTATTTTGGCCTATACATGCGTTTGCCAGGGTGTTAATTATCTTCTCGCTATTTAGGATTGCTGCTGCTAGATTTCGTGCTGACTGCCTCCATACGGAATCTTACACATCGAAAACACAAGATGGCAGAAGTGCCTTTATTTCATATTTTCAAGTTTCATTCCATATATTCAGAATTTTCATATATATATATCAAGCGGCGTTTGCTTGCTACAATATTGGATGTGAAAGCCAGGCTAAAACCTTGTACCACTGCATGCAAAGAGAATTCACACAAGTCATATAGTCTTGCAATTCCCTGCTTTTCTTACAGGGTTTGATAAGCCAAATTTGCAAATTGGTTGTTCCCTGTCATGCCATGTTTTCAGTCATTATATATACATACACACATATAAGAAAAGTATATATATATATACATAATAAAATGACATAATAAAAAGGGCATGCCATAATAATAATAAGTTAACCATTTGTTGAAGCATTAAATATCAACATGAATGATAAAATGGGAACCGATCCATATAGAAATTGTTGTTAACAATTCTTACCTGACAGCATTGATCAAACAATTTGTTTATTTGTTTATTTGTTGGTTAGCGGTTAAACGACTAATTATTTACATCCCCGTCTCCAATTTAGGTACCTAGTTGAGTAGTATAATTACTGAGGACTATAATCACTGACAAAATGCCTAGATTTACTGAGAAAGTTCTTAGAGTCACTAAAAATTTGCTTATATTTATCAGAATGTCTTGTTAGGTACAGAACAGAATGAAGAAAAACAGAACTACAAGACATGATAAAATTTCTTTATCCCAGCATAATCCACACCCTAATGTAAGCAGCAGGCCCAAGCATATTTACAAAGAAGTAAATCTCTGATCTCTGATCTGAAAACAAGACAAACAAACAGCCTTAAAAAAATAAGTTGCAGCAGTTTATAGCTGCTCTCATGTAAAATTGTCTCTTCTTGTCCACGAGGCCCTAAGGATTATGTTTATGTTTTGTGGTAGCACCACTCTATGTTTAATTCAAATATAATTAAGGCAGCATTCTGAGTAATCCTAAAGTGAAGGCTAATAAAAATGAAATATTTCCTGCATATTTCTCCCTTTAGAAATATGCTGAAGATGAAGATATAAGTGCTGTGCTTTTCATCACTATAAAATTCCATTCCTCTGTCTATTCCATCATCCTTCTTTTCTTGTTAATTATCGCATACAGCTTTCTGTGGCTTCGTTTAAAGCTAACCCTATGTGAAAGGAAACATGGAACAAAGCATCAGTCAGGTCCTCTGAGCTAGTCAGTACATCTGCAAATAGACCATGGTAAAGTACTACAGGAAGCACTATGTTTTTTTTTATTTCCTTCTATAAGATATCTCTCAGTGTCTGAATCTCTTTAGCATTTCCTCACTTTCAAAGACCCAGAAACACTAAAAAAGAAAAGAAAAACCTAGAGAATGTAAACATATGGGAGCATGCTACTGTGAAATAGGCAGGCTTTGTTCTAACGCGAATGTTCCAGTCACTTCTCTGCTAATTGTAAAATTTTAAAGCCTGGTGTTCTAAGGGGCTTCCCCCCCCACAAGCTTAATTGCACTTCTCTTTTTACTGTTCCATCTATTCCCACAGCCCTACACTTTTAAGAATTTAGTTGATCCCTTTTAAGTCATTCATCTTTGTTAATTATAGCACACAGAAAGTGTTAATTATGAAGAGGAAGGCTCAGCGGAAACACCAAAGCGCCGCCTTAAAAAAGAAAAAAAAAAAACAGTTAAGTGCAGCAGCGGACAGAGCATATGTTTGTCAGGACCTGTGAAATGTTCACTGGCCTTCAATGTAATGAGAGTGGAGTTCAGTCTCTGATCTTTGAAAGCTAAGAGCCTCTACATTTAACCTAATCTACTTTCTTTGACCAAAATATTATTTTTTCATATATATGCTGTGCAACAATCACATCTATCTGCAAGCACACGCTGCCATCAAGAGAATCAATTCCAAAATGAATAGATAAGAAACAGTGGTTGAATTTCACGTCTTTGAATAGGAAAGTGTATGAGCTATGGCTCATTAAGTGGGAGCTGGCAAATGAGTGTAGCCGCCAAAGTGGGATTCATTTAAAGATCAAAACTAATGCGCAAAAGCTTGGCAGATATATGCGTGGCTGAGCGGAGTGGGCAGCTCCTGGGCACAGCTGGTGCATCTTAGGAAGTGCGGCAGCAAACGGCATTCTGAGGACGGCCACTCCTGTGCCCCTGTGCCATAACCGCTGTGTCACAAAATTTCATTCTTCTGACTGTTCCATCTGGGCGGACAGGGTTTGGATGATGTCGTGCACTGAACTAGTCCTAGCAGCCAAATGGTACCAATGGTGCCAAAAAGCATTAAAAATTCTAAATTATATTCTTTTTCCAAACAATGTTTCAGTCTTTATTTCATTCTTATTTCATTTATTTTGTTTTCACTCATTCTTTTCCAGTGACTGTGTTTGGGGATCATTTAAAACCAAAAAAACAGCTTCTTTTTTCATGGTATCTTTTCTTGTACCAATCATCACGAGCAGGAAACAACACAGCTTGGCTGTTGTCATGACCGCATAGTTGAAGATGGTGCCAATAGTCAGACAATGTTGTTAAAATGTCTATTCTCTAAGTTTCTTCATGGCTTTTATCGCTAAATAGGTTAAACAGTTTAGGTTGATGTGTGTATATTTCTCTGACAAACTAACATGTTGGCACATTGTCCACTGCAGAGAAAAAAAACACCTGTAGAAGATGACGAGTCTCCATCAGCATGCAGTGCTGTACCGGCTAGCTGTAGTTTTAACTCATTAGCTCGTCTGGGGCAGCATCTGTTAAGTCACTCATGCGATACAATGATCTACCGATTTCCCTCAGCTATTACCAATTTTCCTCAGTTAAATTTTAAAGAAAATTTAGTTTTTTTGGACATCATTTTTTTCCTTAGCCATGGT